GAAGTTTTCACGGAATAAAGTTTTATTCCCAGCAGGCTTCTGACATACTGCTGGCGCATCCAACGCTTGCATTTGTCGTGCCAGTCGGGAAACTTTTGCGAGCTGGCAATTTCGCACATTATTCGTGCGTGGGGCCGTCCCTATATAATTATTTCGAATGACATTAAGTGGAGTGTAGTCGGTTAGAGTTGCATAATAAAGGCAAAAACCTACATTCACATTAACAGGAGGCATTTCGTTATGTCTTAATGGAGTTGTCGGTGGAGTTCTTGGAATAACGCTTACACCCGGATATACTTCGACATCTGAGGCATTTTTTACACCTCCACCGTCGGGACGATAGTGGCCTACGGGTAGATATAAATATTATAGAACTGTGACAAGACAGATAATCAAATAAACCTGCAGAAATTATCTTACCTGTATTACGGGCAACTTGTATTGGGTGGTTGTAAGGAATGCCCCCATTGGGAGCATTAAACATATAACTTAGAGTCATGGCAAGCATAGAGTGCACATCTCCCTCCATCTCGACGATAAATACGTTTCTCTTTGAATCTATGTCAAACTTATACGGAAGTGTCTCGTGGCGTTCAAAGAAGGCATCAATTGTTGATAGCTTCTCCTTCCAACCGATCTGTAAAGGCAAACTACGTTCCAAACATGCGTTATTATTAGAAGAATTTTGACATTCATGTAACTGCCTACTTACTCCTCCTTTACTCGAAATCTTTTTTCTGCAATCTTAAAATTCCTCTCTAGAGATAAGAGACGAGACGTCATTTTGCCGTTGTAAATAATCGTTCTATCGCGAAATTATACGACTGTTTTGTTGATGGAAAAAATGATATGACCATGTAAGGGGCATAATAACTACCGCACTATTACTATGACGACACAGTAATTTACGTCAGATCACAATTTGTATGTATAATTTGCGGCAGGTCACGTTCTACTCCGCTTTAGCAATTTATTGTGGCGGATTACACGTACACCCCCAAACATGATAGTGAGTTATTTACCCAGATAAGAAGGATAAATGTTTCTATCACGAAATCATTATTAGTAAAAAAACAACGAGTTATATGTCACTACCGAAAATAATCACCTACACCACAATCCTTCTAAATGTTTCTATCACGAAATCATTATCAGTAAAAAAAAACAACGAGTTATGATGTCACTACCGAAAATAAGCACCTCCCCAAAATTTTTACCTCCGAAAATCATTACCTACACCATAATCCTTCTAAATCATATTATATTTGGTAAAAATATCCAATTTACATATTTTTCAATCATAGTAAATAGTCGTTTATATTGTTTTGTGACAACTACGTTACACTTCTGTTGAGTTTATCTTACAGCGCATTGACGATCAAAGCATATACACACGTTTACACATACACCTGGTTTGTCTACCGGACATTACATCAACGACGCTTGTGTTTTTGCAGCTTCCCTTGATGATAATCTTCATACGATTATCGTTATCAGAATTACTATACATAGCAGATATCACACAATATATCGCTATCATACGATTATTTATTGTTTCAATCACAGCGCTCTTTAAAACATCGAACAGCTGAATTACTATATTGATAAGCGTAAGTGGAGAATGGAGGAAGTAATACGACAGTACGACTGAAGAGGAAACTGTCTACTGGTAAACAAAAACTCCCTTTACTAAAGTGCAACACAAAGGTTTCATAGCATAGCATGCATAAAAAAGGGTAGTATATACGAGGCGAGTGTAACACAAAAAAGTCTAGCATAACTGAAAAAAAGACGATTGTTTGGTATTAAAAGCGTGACATCAGGCGAAGCACCAATGGTATATAACCACAAGATCGATGATGCGACTGATGAAAATGTAAAGTAATACGAAGTGAAATTATGGTCAGGGAAATACGAAAGAGAAATGGCAGCGTAAAAAATGTACAATCAATTTTTTTAACGTTATTATACTTTTGTTGCCCTACATACCAAACTCATGTGATCATCCGAAACTTTACCGACGTCTAACGACATTTAATTATTGGTTACAACAAATATTGTACTTCCTATTAATGGCTAGCGATCGTCATGACGTATGGGCCCGTTCTTATATACTGTACTATACTTTAAATAGCTACGTTTCATTTCATAGCAAGGCAAAGCAAAGCAGAAGTCTAAGCTTTTGCATAGTGAGCAAACGTTCACAATCGGAAATAACAGATTAAAATATTTTTCCCACAGTCGATCTATTTGTCATGTTATGACTAACGTATTTATCGTTTGTCTAACTTACAGATGTTTCACCAACTTTCATTAGATTCAATGTTTAAATAAGATAAATTCTTGAGAACTCTAACCCGTTAAACAATACCTAATACGACGCAACTTTTTTTTTCTTTCTCAAAATACAAATATAATTTACAAATAACAATTTATCTCAAAAATAAAATGGCAAGAAATTTTATTATTGTTTACTTGATTAAATCAAATTTAGATAGACTCAAAAACATAACTACGCAAAAGCACACATGAGAAATAGAAAGTTTAATACGTGATTGTAACATATTTCTTTTTTGATCAAGAAAATCATTGTTGTTATTTACAAAAACGGAAATACATTCAGGCAAAAATCTTGCGTATTAGTATACCTTAAAAAATAATTGAGTTTAATAGCAAACAGTTATTTAATTAATTGATGTGTAATCATGACATATTTATTTACTGCTTTTAAGATACCAAAATTTACCGAAAAATACATAACAAAAAATGTTTCTTTTATTTCTTTTATGACAATATTCGTCATTTTCTCAGCAAACAAAAACAAGCAAAAAAAAAGTATAAAATATCTCTAAATTCCCAATTACCATATCTTCTACATTATTTTTCTCTTGAAGAAAGCAAAAAAATGCCCGCTTCCCTTTCCGTCATTGCTTACATTACCCAACAAAACTGTAAAATTCATAAGCGAGTACAACATACAAAAAGGTCTCGCATACTGTCGCCTACCCGACGATAACTCCCAACTGATACGATTTACATATTTCGTTTCTGAAAAAGAAGAAGATGCAGAAGATTCCGACGAAAACAAATCTTCGACGGGACATGCTTTACAACTAGAAGCCGTTTATTTATTACGCGGGAAATTTTCATATCTGATGAATGACGACTTCTTGGATATAATAATTATGTCTCTCATGTTCATCTAACAATCGAAATGGAAGATTGTCCTGCATCACCTTTCATAGCGCGATTTATAGGCAAAACGATTAATTCTCCGTCTGCAACAACAATGGGAGTTTGTATAACTGCAAGTGTAACGGAATATCTAAGGAAAGGAGAAAGACCTATAAACGAAGTCGTATTAACCCATCCAACTATTGGTCGATTATCTAAGTCAATAAAATGCCACCATTCAATTTATGGGCATATTATTTCACGAAAAGATTATCTATTGCAACGTCTTAGACTTTTCGTTTGTAGGGACAAGGGCTGATAACTTCTCCAAAAGGCAACTTCGTATAATCCCTGTTTTACATTGGAATTGCTTGTACGTACGTAACAACCACAAATATAGTTCCGTATAAGCAAACTGCAGAACAGATAAACCGTATTATAAACAACGCTCTGCCTCTGGAAAACGACAAAGTTATGATATCTGATGCTCTAGACTTCTTGAATGGCACCAAACAAAGCCCTGAAACTACACAATCATTGTTCAAATTAAAACCAACTTGCCGCTGACCGTACGCATTCAACAAGGATCTCGCGTAATGTTCTTAAATAATTCTCTTATGGAAAATGGTATTTGCAATAAAACTATTGGCGTTATCACTGACTTTGATAAAGATTCACGCTCTGTCCAAATGGCATTTTGTGTACAGAATGCAATATAGTCCACTGTTGGATACAATAACAACACACCTCCTACTTTTATGCTGCAGGGAAAAAAGCTTCTCGAACTCAGTTTCCTCTACAAAATTCATTCGCTCTAACAAAACATAAAACTCAAGGTCTTACATTACAAAAAATAACTGTATCATTAGAATCATCACATATTCTCTCCAGGTCAAGCTTACGTTGCAATTAGCAGGTGTCCAACTTGGGAAAAATCTCAACATTAGTGCATTAGACAGAAATTCTTTCATAACCGATTCAAATGTAATAAAAGAATATGAAAGACTACAACATGTTGCTCAACAACTTTCAATAACTTCCCCATTTTAATCTGCATATTAAAAATAAAACTAAATTGCTTAACATATTAACTGTATTCTATTATAGTGACTGCCCGGTCAACGCAGTTGACCGGATTTCAATACTACACTAGTTGTTATTTTAAACATAATCATAAGCCGTTTGCACATAAATTTATGTGACGATATTAATATGGGCTTATGTTGACCAAATAAATAAATAATGCTTATTTTAATTTATCGGTTCCAATCTCCAACCTATTTAATAAAACGGAATTCTCTTCGGATGTTTTGGCAGATTTACGGCCTGAGACTTCTGAAATCAAGCCTATTTCAGTTAAACCGTCCAAGAGAGTGACTAAGCTGCTTTTCATGATAAGCCTGGCTATTTTTCTGTCCGAAAATGTCTTTAAGCTGAAATCCGACGAAGTTAATCGTAGCCTCTTCTCGGACTCGGACACCCGAACGTCGATTCAATCTCGATGCCCAGTCGTGATTTTATTATATATATAATGACATAAATGCTAACAGTAAGTATGTTATCAGTTGTAGAATCCATCATTAACTTGACTATTTGTAGACGGATCGAGAGTGTACAATCCTTTTTTGGTCCATCAGAAGGGAAGTGTTATTGACATATATGTGGTAACGTTCGCACGGCAAGATTTAAGGTTTGAAACCCCGCCTAATGGGTTAGATTCAAATTATTATGCAAAATCAATTTTATTCAATTGACACTACAGCTGACAGATGCTCAGATGGCTGTGAACGTACTTAGTAGCGATACTCAAGACTTATCATGTGAAGTTGTTCTTCATAAAAGATGGTAAATGGCACTAACAAACGACAATGCCATCCAAACAATTATGTATTCAAGGTGCTTAATGATAATCAATACTTTCTCTCTAAAGGTTATAAAACTTTATGAAAAAATCATAAACATACATCTTAATATCGGCGTGCACACGCAAGCCGTAACATAGAACAAGAACACAAATCTCTAAATCTCTAAATCTCTAAATAAATAATAAAATACATTAAACTTATATTCTTAAGCCTTATTGATAAACTTGAAACAGTCGAAGGAAACGAATCTTGAATTCCTACTGCGTTTAAATCCTTTTAAGGGGCGCTTTCAAGACTGTAATTAAAATACAAATTTAACAAAACAAGCGGATAATCAGCGATAGTCAATACATACGTCTCATCCATAGTATCAATAGTTATTACAACATCATCGTTTAAATTATTTCTGTTATCAACATTCTGTACAGCGTTTACAGTCAAACTTGGTTCAATGTTGGTTTCTTCATCAATATGCCTAATATTTCTTTGACTAATATCGGTCAAAACAGGCGTCCGTCTTCTGAAAATTTTGTAAATACTGATAAGGGCCTGGCACATATTGAAGATTCCGACTACCACGTTAAAGATGAGTAATGCTATGCCATCCGACATTGATAAATACTGTTTCCCCCGAAAAATTATAGAGCCAATTGGATGAATTTCCGAGTAGAGTGCGATAGCTTGGTGGCCGGACGATAACAGAAGAGCGAGGTGTAATAGAGTAGAACACAATTTGTGAAAAAG